AAAAAAAAAAAAAATAAAGCATATAAAATCCAAATATAATTGAAAAAAATCATACAGTTTGACTCATTGGGCAAAAAAAATTAAAAAAAAAAGAAAGTAGCATTTCCTTGCATTATGCAAATATTTAATAAACTACTTTTATTTTCGAGAGTGAGCGCATGAGTAGGGACAGGAGCAGAGGGAGAGAGAGGGAATCCCAAGCAGGGTCCAGGCTCAGTGAGGAGCCTGACACAGGGCTCAGTCCCACAACACTGGGATCATGACCTCAGCCAAAATCAAGAGTCAGACGCTCAACTGACTGAGCCACCCAGACGTCCCTAATAAACTACTTTTAAATGAATGGTTACATAAGGCTCACATGTAGCTACTTACAGTTAACCATACGCTTAAAGAAATATGATTTTACAACTAAGTTATAACTCATTACACAACTGAGGGAAAATTAACCAATGTTAGAATTGAAGAGACAAAAATACCCAAATTTTAATTGTGTAAGGATCAAACACAAAACGCAATTGTCTCAACTACCAAATTCTTATGGTAAATATATTGTTTAGAGTGAATTAAAGAGAACTTCCCAAATTTAGTCAGAGACTTAATCAGAGTCAGGAACATTTATAAATGTATGGGTCAACGAAAAAAGGAGAAGTCAAAGAACACCACAATTAAGAGAAAGGCCACAGACATATCAGGGCCAGCGGGCACTCAAATTATATCCAGCGTTCTTCTTACATAAATTAACAGCAAGTAACCTAGTAACATACTGAGCGCTTACTACCTGCCTGACTCCATCCGCACACACACGCACAATCCTGTGAGGCTGCTGCTATTACGCACGCACGGAAGATGCGCAAGGGAAGGCTCACAGAGACTACAGCACTCGCCCAAGACTCAGAGCTTTTCCAAACTGCAGCCACCAGTCAAACCCAAGCCATCAGACCCCAGAACCTGGGCCGGTGAGCCCCACCGCACAGCGACGAGGCAGGGAGTTAAAACAAGGCCCCTGTAAGACGCTGTGAGCTGCCTGCTGGCACGGCGGTACCCAACAGCAGGCACGCAGCAAAGGGCAGAATCTATTTTACATCAAGGACTCATGTTAGCTCTATAGTCACAGTGCATTTTTGAGAAATCCCAGCAGCCGAACTAGTGAAGCAAACAAGACCATGTGGGTATAAAGTAACTGGCAAATGAACACTTACAAATCCTGAACTTCCTGAAGCCTTCTCTAACCTCAGACACCGAGTAGGAATATCAGTAAATATAAAACCTTAAAAAAGATAAGTTTACTGTAGTGCAATGTTAGTATTCAAAGTAATCTGAGGAAAGGGTACCTGAGAGTGCTTTATAGTTCTGTCAACTCTTCCAGAAGTCTGAAACTATACAAAAAAAAAAAAAACATTTAAGGATAACTTTATCTGGGAATGCAAACTGGTGCAGCCACTCTGGAAAACAGTATGGAAGTTCCTCAAAAAACTAAATATAGAACTACCCTACGACCCAACAACTGCACTATTAGGAATTTATCCAAGGGATATAGGTGTGCTGTTTCAAAGGGACACATGCACCCCCATGTTTATAGCAGCACTATCAACAATAGCCAAAGTATGGAAAGAGCCCAAATGTCCATCGATGGATGAATGGATAAAGAAGAAGTGGTATATATACACATAATAGAGTATTACTCGGCAATCAAAAAGAACGAAATCTTGCCATTTGCAACTATGTGGATAGAACTGGAGGGTATTATGCTAAGTGAAATGAGTCAGTCAGAGAAAGACAAATATCGTATGACTTCACTCATATGA